AACCTTACCGGTAGCAGCAGCTGCCGTCAAGGTCATAATATCTCCGGGCGACCGAACATTAACGGCCGAGCTAACAACAGAAGCTAAGTGTTCCCGCTCGGCCCCCATTACCTCAGCCGCCTCCACACACTGTGCCGCCACCAGAGTGGCGGCCGACGCCACCGCCATGTCCGCCGCCTCGCCGGACGCGGCGGCAGTGGCGGCCGCAATGGCGGCAACTGCCGACGCCACTCCAGCTACTGATACAGTCGCGTGGAGTTGCGCATTGTGGGCCCGCGCCTCTTCTTTCTTCTTCTCTCTCCTTTCCTTGAGCCATCGCCCGACGGTTTTCCCACCGCCGTTGGCTGTGCCTGAAGAGGTCTTGTAGTGGTTGATGTTCGTGCGCAAGTACTGCATCTGCATATGTGAGTTGCGAATGCGAGTAATAACTAATTCACTTTAATGAGAATGTGTGATTCACCTATTTAATTCAACAAGTCCAGTTAGGATTGTATAGATCCAAAACTATTTCATTAACCAGAAATAGACATAGACAATACAGTTGGTTTATGAGTTATGAGTTGTAATTGAGACCCAGAAACAATTAGTCAGATGTGAGGATGTTGATGTATCATAACTCTTGAAATTAATTTTGTCTTAACAAAATTTGTGGCTACAGAGAAGCTAAGATGTTCGCCCCTATTATTTACAGGATCATTCTCATAACTTAAACATGTGGGGTGTAAACAATAAATAACGTATAAGCAACAAACATGGCATTAAATGAGTTTATCATTGCAATGTACTGAACACATAAAGAGCTAACATACACACAACCAAGAAAACAGATTCTAATTAAAAACACTATTAAATCAATTCAAGAAGATAAAAAACTAATAAACAATGAATAAATATCAATCACAAAGAAGGAAAAGCGTGTTAATACAGTACTATCATACTCTGAAAATGTTTTTGGATAAAAGGAAAAGCTGCCTCTTTCTCTATCTGTCTCTACAGAACTTGTGCTCCGTGTCCGAAGAAAAACAATAAAAATAAAAGAAAATCCGAACAAGAATACATGCTTCACTAGGAAGACTGAAAAAAAAAAAAAGTTGAGATAAATTAATAAATATATATGAGTAAAAAAATAATACCTTTGGGTCATCCAGCTCAGATGGAGAAACTGGGGGACTATCGGTGAGCGAGCCATTAAGAGGGCCGCTGCTATGTGATAGCCTTCCTGAAGTGCGTGGTGATACCTCCTGCTACACATGTTGTACGCACATCATACATTGTATTGTAGTATCAAATAAACAACTTCAGTCATCATGACAAGTCAATATAACACACAAACCAAGTCAGAAAGCAAATAATTCTTTGTTAGAATTAGAATTATAAAATAATAAAGTGTAAGGTCCTCGATATAAATTATATAAATATTCAAAAGGAGCCAGAGGAAAATGGGCATTGTCACAATACTATTGTGTGGTTTTTTTAAATCAAAATGCGTTGAATAATTGTTGAAGTATGATGAATTGTCTTCTCCACG